GCGGTGACGTCAGGATGACGTCCCCCTCCGGCGCTGGGCATGGCGGGAGTTTTAAATACCGCTCCCGGGTTGTGTGGAGGAGGGGGATGTGGAGGGAAGACAAATGCCGGAGATTGGAGCTTTCGACCCCGGAGGACGGGTGAGGACACGAACCAGCGGCCATGGAAGGCAGGACATTGCAGACACCCGTGGAGCAACGGGGTCCAGAAGGCTGTCCGGAGCGACGAGCGGCTGGCCTGCGGAGTGCCGTTTTAAATACCGCTCCCGGGTTGTGTGGAGGAGGGGGATGTGGAGGGAAGACAAATGCCGGAGATTGGAGCTTTCGACCCCGGAGGACGGGTGAGGACACGAACCAGCGGCCATGGAAGGCAGGACATTGCAGACACCCGTGGAGCAACGGGGTCCAGAAGGCTGTCCGGAGCGACGAGCGGCTGGCCTGCGGAGTGCCGGGTAAGCCAGCAGCAGGGGAGGGGTGATGGAATGGAGAGGAAGTAGCCCAGGGCGGGGTCATATAAGAACCCCACAGATTGGCAGGTTTCGGCAGGACACCCATCAGGCGGACCCGGACCAAAACTGGTCTGTGTCCTTCAGGGCCCTGGGCTGGGGCCCGGAAGTGAGGGTGGGCCCGGGCCCCCCTCTTCCCCCCCTATCCTCCTTCTGCCCCTCCTGGAAAGAAATGCCAAGAGAGCAAACAAGGGGCGTTTCAGACATGTGTTGCCGGGGGCTGGTGAGAAAAGTACGTCATAGGGGGCGACGATAAGGGCGCGGAACAAGGGGGCACCAGACTATTCTGTGCGCACTCGGACGCCCCGAACTATCCCCGGAAGGGGTAAAACCCAGGCTGTGTGGGCACTGTTGGAGGACAGTGGCCTGAATAGAATAGCGCCGCCGCCGTCAGAGCCAATTCCCCAAAATCAACGACGGGCGACGCTGTAGGGGGGGTCAGAATCCCTACATATCTATAGTTAGGATTTTATTTTTCCATGTGCATTACTTCGCACTTATCAACACTGAATTCCATCTGCCCTTGTGTTGCCCAATCACCCAGGGTATGTCTACACTACCCCGCTAGTTCGAACTAGCGGGGTAGTGTAGACATACCCAGAGTGTCCACACTGCCATAGATGCTCTTGTGTGAAAGCACAGCTCGCACATGGAAGAGTGGATGTGTTCTTGCATGAGAACACTTGTGCAAGATGTTCTTGCGCAAGAAACAACAAGTGTAGACATAGCCTAAGAGAGTCCTCACATGAGCAAAATGAATTTTGTGTTGTGCACCAGTATTGAGTTCATGTGGCTTGTTTGGATATGCCACCCAAGTTATTAATAAATATTTTTAAAGTAATTTTATAGCATCTGCAAATGTTGCCACCTGACTGGTTTACCCCTTTTTCAAGAACATTTATAAGGTTAACAATAGTGGTCCAAATGCAGATAATCCCAGGAGCACAACGCTCATTGCTACTCTTCTTTTAAGTGGAGGACCCGGCAATGTTTTCATGAGGGATCTATCCTCTGTGATTTGAATGCCCAGCCTTTTGTTATTCTTAATCATCTGCCTCCCTCTGTTTATAACAAACTCCCTGCCCCAAAGGCAAAGCTGCAAGCTGTTCAAACTCTATTGCAGTTAAGAGCTGCCTCTGGAGTCAGAGCATGCAGCTTTAAGCAGACTTCAAGTATGAAATCCAGGGGCTCCAACTTTTGGGCCCCAGCCGCCCTAACTGATGCCCTTGAGGGAGGGGCATTAAAGGGCTGCAGGTCAGGAGGGAGGGCACTATGAGGCTGTGTAGGGGAGGGTGGACACTATGGGACTATGTGGTGGGAGGGAGGGGTGCTATAGGGCTGCGGGTCAGGTGGGAGGACACTATGGGGCTTTGTGGGAAAGAAGTGGCACTACAAGGCTGTGTGTCAGGAGGGAGGGCACTATGGGACTGTGTGGGGAGGGGGGTACTATGGGACTGTGGGGAGGGGGAGTGCTATGGGGCTATGTCGGAGGGAGGGTGCTATGGGGCTGTTTGGGGAGGGAAGGAGCTAGGGGGCTGTGTGTCAGGAGGGAGGGCACTATGGGACTGTGTAGGGGGAGGGCACTATGGGGTGATGTGGTGAGGAAGGGCGCTATGGGGCTACGTGGAGAGGACGCTATGGGATTGTGTCAGGGGAGGGCACTATGGGGCTGTATCGGGGGGAGGGCGTTATGGGGCTACATTGGGGGAAGGTGCTATGTGGGGAGGGCGCTATGTGGAGAGGGCACTATGGGGCTGTGCCGGGGGAGGGCGCTATGTGGAGAGGGTGCTATGGGGCTGTGCCGGGGGAGGACGCTATGTGGAGAGGGCACTATGGGGCTGTGCCGGGGGAGGGCGCTATGTGGAGAGGGTGCTATGGGGCTGTGCCGGGGGAGGACGCTATGTGGAGAGGGCACTATGGGGCTGTGCCGGGGGAGGGCGCTATGTGGAGAGGGTGCTATGGGGCTGTGCCGGGGGAGGACGCTATGTGGAGAGGGCACTATGGGGCTGTGCCGGGGGAGGGCGCTATGTGGAGAGGGTGCTATGGGGCTGTGCCGGGGGAGGACGCTATGTGGAGAGGGCACTATGGGGCTGTGCCGGGGGAGGGCGCTATGTGGAGAGGGTGCTATGGGGCTGTGCCGGGGGAGGACGCTATGTGGAGAGGGCACTATGGGGCTGTGCCGGGGGAGGGCGCTATGTGGAGAGGGTGCTATGGGGCTGTGCCGGGGGAGGACGCTATGTGGAGAGGGCACTATGGGGCTGTGCCGGGGGAGGGCGCTATGTGGAGAGGGTGCTATGGGGCTGTGCCGGGGGAGGACGCTATGTGGAGAGGGCACTATGGGGCTGTGCCGGGGGAGGGCGCTATGTGGAGAGGGTGCTATGGGGCTGTGCCGGGGGAGGACGCTATGTGGAGAGGGCACTATGGGGCTGTGCCGGGGGAGGGCGCTATGTGGAGAGGGTGCTATGGGGCTGTGCCGGGGGAGGACGCTATGTGGAGAGGGCACTATGGGGCTGTGCCGGGGGAGGGCGCTATGTGGAGAGGGTGCTATGGGGCTGTGCCGGGGGAGGACGCTATGTGGAGAGGGCACTATGGGGCTGTGCCGGGGGAGGGCGCTATGTGGAGAGGGTGCTATGGGGCTGTGCCGGGGGAGGACGCTATGTGGAGAGGGCACTATGGGGCTGTGCCGGGGGAGGGCGCTATGTGGAGAGGGTGCTATGGGGCTGTGCCGGGGGAGGACGCTATGTGGAGAGGGCACTATGGGGCTGTGCCGGGGGAGGGCGCTATGTGGAGAGGGTGCTATGGGGCTGTGCCGGGGGAGGACGCTATGTGGAGAGGGCACTATGGGGCTGTGCCGGGGGAGGGCGCTATGTGGAGAGGGTGCTATGGGGCTGTGCCGGGGGAGGACGCTATGTGGAGAGGGCACTATGGGGCTGTGCCGGGGGAGGGCGCTATGTGGAGAGGGTGCTATGGGGCTGTGCCGGGGGAGGACGCTATGTGGAGAGGGCACTATGGGGCTGTGCCGGGGGAGGGCGCTATGTGGAGAGGGTGCTATGGGGCTGTGCCGGGGGAGGACGCTATGTGGAGAGGGCACTATGGGGCTGTGCCGGGGGAGGGCGCTATGTGGAGAGGGTGCTATGGGGCTGTGCCGGGGGAGGACGCTATGTGGAGAGGGCACTATGGGGCTGTGCCGGGGGAGGGCGCTATGTGGAGAGGGTGCTATGGGGCTGTGCCGGGGGAGGACGCTATGTGGAGAGGGCACTATGGGGCTGTGCCGGGGGAGGGCGCTATGTGGAGAGGGTGCTATGGGGCTGTGCCGGGGGAGGACGCTATGTGGAGAGGGCACTATGGGGCTGTGCCGGGGGAGGGCGCTATGTGGAGAGGGTGCTATGGGGCTGTGCCGGGGGAGGACGCTATGTGGAGAGGGCACTATGGGGCTGTGCCAGGGGAGGGTGCAAGCCGTACCACAGCCTGTGTGCTGTCTCCAGCTGGGCAGAAGCAGCCCCAGGGCCTGGCACTGCTGGGCGTAGTCACTGAGGCTCTGGCAGAGCAGCTCCGTGCTGCTGGGCACAGCGCAGACGTCGTACACGCAGTTTCTGGCGGGACAGGGCAGGTTAGAGACAACACAACACAACTCCCCCACAACACGACATCCACCAGTGCTACACAACCTCCCAACACCTCACAGCACCCCGCATTGCCACACTAGCCTGTCTCCAAATATTGCCCATAGCACAGCACCGCACGAATTGTCAGAGCGCGCGTGACAGCGACACACAAAAACATACACACATCCCAGCAGGGACACACATACACAGCAAAGGGTGCAGGGACATGCATGCACATCCACACACACATACTGGGAAACACACGTACAGCAGGAGGTCACAGGGACACATGCACGCACACACAAACATACAGAGCAGGGAGCTGTGGGGACTCACACACACACTGGCAAGGGACACATACACAGCGGGGGTTCAGGGACACAAACGCACACGTACACACACACACCACGAATGCATTACGCACTCCTGGAAAGTGCTGGGGTCCAGATGTCCATGGCAGGCCTGGAAGGGTCCCTGGGGATCAGCCAGGGTCCCGCAAAGCCCCGTCCCGTTCACCTGCACCAACTGATCTGCGCTGCACATCACCTCAAATCCCGACTCCACCGCCGTCTCTGGTGCCTGTCGCCTGGGGGAGACCATGAGACACCCACTGACTGAGGTGGGGAGAGACTATGAGAGACCCACTGATTGGGGGAGGGGAGAGGCTGTGAGAGATCCACTGATTGGGGGGAGACCATGAGACACCCAGTAACTGGGGAAGTGGGGAGAGATGAGAGACACCCACTGACTGGGGTGAGGGGTGACCATAAGACAGTCGCTGACTGGGGCTTGGGGAGAGACTGTGAGACATCTACTGATTGGGGGTTTGGGGAGGGACTGTGGAACACTCACTGATTGGGGTGGAAGGTGACCACGAGACACCCACTGACTGGGGGAGGGGAGAGATTGTGAGAGACCCACTGACAGGGCCGAGCAAAGTTTAGGGGTCTTACCTGGTCCGGGGGGGCTCTATGTGACTGAGTTCCCTACTCCAGGGGCTCCTGACGGCCCAGCTCTCTCCGAATTCAGTGGGTCTGCGGGTCCTGGTGCCATCTGGCTTGGTGTATTCATTGTCCCGGCGCCCATCAAAATTCCCACACAGGCCCCCCACATAGCTCTGGTAGGTGGTTGGAAGCACAATTTCTGAGAAAGGAGAGAGAGAGAGAGAGAGTACAAACACAGTGCCCCCAAATCCAGGCCACTGCCCCGCTGAGCCAGCCAGTCCCTCCCCTGGGGCTGAGTGGGAGCTGGTGCCTCTTGGAGGGGACAGGCCGGTGCCCCATTTTACCTGAGTGGTCCCTGCCATTAAAAGAGACTGAGAGGCCAAAGTCTGTCTGCAGAAAAAGGCTGCGTCCCTTCTGAGTTACAATGAGCCCTTCCAAGGGTTGGAACGGGGGGGTCACATGCAGCCCATCAACCTAGCGGAGGCACAAAACAAGGAGAAGAACCGGTTAAACAGAGACCTCTTGCTTGGTGCTGAGATGCAGACACCTCTGGGGGAAGGCTGGTTCTATGGGGTGCTCACCACCAGTTTGCGGCCCTCCATCATGGTGACCTTGTAGCCATACACTGAGACATAGACCTCCCGCAAGAAGGACACACGGTGCCAAGCCACCCGGCGCCGGTTCCGGCCCATGATGCTCAGCGAGGGCAGGGCTCCGGGCAGCGTGGCCAGGGTGGTGGTCAGGGTGTAGGTGGCCCGGCCCTGGAAGTGGTAGACGTAGCCGTCGAAGGTGCGGTAGTGGGGGTCGCCGGAGATGGTGCACTGGTAATACTCTGGCAGAGGGGTGAGGAGATGTTAGGGGGTCTTTAGGGGCATCTCTGCTCCCTCCCCCACTGCCCAGATCCCTCCCAAATCAGTCGCGCTCCCCAGTCCCACTGCCAGGAACCCTCCCTGACTGTCACTCACTGGTGGGTTTGCAGTAGCGGTTCCCAGCACTGCTGAGGGCGCAGTGGGACCCCATCTGGCACTGGAACAGCTGGCAGGAGGTGCTGCCATTCACCAGGCAGGTACAGCGCTGGCTGCAGTCACTGCTCAACCATGTGTCCCCCATCTGGAAGGATAGAGCCAGGAGGGTCACAACCTGCCTCCAACTCCTGCCCCATTTCTGTACACCTGCCCTCCCCCCCACTGCACTCACGCTATGGTAACCCTGCTGGTCATCCAGGCAACCGCACGCTCCCATGTCGACACAGGTCTCATCGCTCAGCACATAGCCACGGTTGCAGGCGCAGCCCTCCACGCAGGCCGCAGGGTTTGGGCAGCTGGCCGCAGAGTAAAGATTGGTGCAGGTGGCCGGACAGGGCAAGGCGCACTCAGTGTAGTGGCTGTGCGGGGGACATGGCAGGGCTGGAGAGACAAGGAAGTTTGTTTTGGAAGTTTCAATTAACAAAGTCTCCCCCCTTAGGATTTCCGTTATTGTTAGGGTGTTTTTTGTTTTTGGGGGAAATAAGGACATTTTTAAGGTCATCGCAGTCCAAAAATGTTGTTAAACTGTAGAAATGTCTATGGGAAATATCAGGAAATTCCCACCCAGAAAATCTTCACGTGACACTAAACTATGAAATAAATACAGCAATTCCAGCTGGAAAAAATATTAAACAAATCTGCAGCAACTCTGTGATATAACTATAGAATTTTAAATGGAAGAACTAAGGAAATTCCTGACCAGAAATCCTTCGTGTGTCACTAGTTAAACTGAAAAAAATAAAAGGCAATTCCCAGCCATGAAAACTTTGTGACACTAAACTATAGAAATCTCTGTGGAAGAGCAAATGAAATTCCTGGCCAAAATACTTTTGTGGACCTGAAAGGAAAATCCCAGGCAAATAGTTGTGAAGCTGGCTAATCCAAAAGAACAAAGGACATTCCCAGGCAAAACCATGTTGTACCATTGCAGGCTTTGCTGGGGAAAAAAGACACTTCCAGATAAAAACTTGGTGGAATTGGCTAAAAAATAAAGAAATTCACCAACAAAACAAAAGCCTTTGTGAATGTGGCTACAAAACTAAGGAAATTCCCACACAAAAACAAACAAACAAAAACAAACAAACAAAAACAACCTCCTTTGTGATTCTGGCTACCACATGGGGACATTTCCAGACCAAAAAATGAGCAGGCCTGGCCAAGCAAGAAAGGAAATTCCCAGACAAAAAATGTGAAATCTAGCAAAAACTTCAGGCAAGTCTTACAGGCAAAAAGGAACAAACAAAACCAACCCCAACTTTGTGAATCTGGCAAAAAGACTAAGGAAGTTGTTAAGAACATAAGAATGGCAAGACTGGGTCACACCAAAGGTCTGTCTAACCCAGTATCCTTGTTTTTCGACAGTGACCAATGCTAGGTGCCCCAGAAGGAATGAACAGGGCGAGAATCATTAAGTGATCCCTCCCCAGTCATCCATTGTTAGCTTCTGACAAACAGACTAGGGACACATCCCTGATCAGCCTGGCTAATAGTCAGTGATAGACCTATCCTCCATGAATTTATCTAGCTCTTCTTTGAACCCTGTTAAAGTCTTGATCTTCATAACATCCTCCGGAAGGGAGTTCCACAGGTTGACTGTGTGCTGTGTGAAGAAGTACTTCCTTTAGTTTGTTTTAAACTTGCTACCTATTAATTTCATTTGGTGACCCCTACTTCTTATGTTGTGGAAACAAGTAAATAACTTTTCCTTATTCACTTTCTCCACACCAGTCATGATTTTATAGACCTCGATCATATCCCACCAAAGGGTGCCTCTACACTGCACCCTAAATTTGAAATAAGATACACAATTTGCGCTATGCACATTGTGTATCTTATTTTGATTTTATTTCACAATAGCTTATTTTGAAATTTGGCACATCTATACAGTGCCAAATTTCAAAATAAAACACCGTTTTGAGCCATCCCTTATTCTGCATGCAATAAGGTTTGATAGGATGGAGAAATAGTGCACCCATTATTTTAAAAAATGTTTCGAAATAATGGGCGGCTTGTGTAGACGCAGGGTATCTATTTTGGGAAATAGCCTTGCAGTGTAGATGTACCCTTAGTCTCCTCTTTTCTAATTTGAAAAGTACCAGTGTTTTTAACCTCTCCTCATACGGCAGCCATTCCAAATTCCTAATATTTTTCGTTGCCCTTTTCTGAACTTTTTCCAGTGTCAAGATAGGCATTTGCAATGAGGCAACCACTTCTGCATGCAGTATTCAAAATATGGGTGTACCGTCGATTTATACAGAGGCAATAAGATATTCTCTGTGTTATTTTTTATCCCTTTTGTTAATGATTCCTAACATTCTGTTTGCTTTTTTGACTGATGCTCCACATTGAGTGGATGTTTTCAGAGAATTACCCACAATGATTCCAAGATCTCTTCCTTGAGTGGTAACAGCTAATTTAGTTCCCATCATTTTGTATTTATAGTTGGGATTATGTTTTCCAATGTGCATTAATTTGCATTTATCAAAATTAAAATTCATCTGCCATTTTGTTGTCCAATCACCTAGTTTTGTGAGATCCTTTTGAAGCTCTTCACAGTTACTTTGGTCTTAACTATCATGAGCATTTTAGAATCATCTGCAAGTTTTGCCACGTAACTGTTTACTCTTCTCTCTCTAAATCATTTATGAATATGCAGAATAGGATTGGTCCCAGTACAGACCCCTGTGCAACACCACCAGTTCCCTGTTTCTGTTAAATAGGAAACGTTGTGGATGTGGCTAAAACCATAGATGGTCCAAGTCTGCTGTCAGTGGTGGTGGGTTACAACCCCGAACAGCTCAAGTCACACCCCTACCTTGCCCTACCGGTTAGTCCTCCTCCTTCTAGAAAGCAGCCCCTACCCAGGAAAGCAGCAGCCCTTCCATGTGGGCCTGGCTACACCGCTGCAAGCTAAAGAAACTCCCCAGCCCAAAGCTTTGCAATTTGCCAAGCTGGATGCCCCACAGGGAGCTCTTGGCAGAGCCTCATGGCTCTTACGGCAGAAGGTGCTGTTCCTCCAGGAGAGGCCAGCCATGCCCTGGCTCTTGCAGGCCTCGGCGTACACCTGGATGTTGTCACAGAGGGTGGAGACCATGCCCTGGTACTCGCACATGTCGAAGAGGCAACTCTGGATGAAGGGCTGGGGGGGCAGAACCCCATGGCAGGCCTGGTATTTGGGGGCCAGGATCTCTCGGCACAGGGCACTGAAGCGCTCCTTCTCCAGTGGGCTGCAGTGAGGCTCCAGGTCCTCCCGGTTGTCTGGCTGGCAGCTGGCAGCAGGACAAGGGCAGGTGAGTGGAGAAAGGGGTGTAGAGCAACTGTCTCCCCCCATGAATGGTTTAAACTAGGCTCCACCTCCACCCAAAGAAGTGGTTTAGTCCATTTCCCCTCCCAGACAATGGTTTAGCTTCCCCCCACACACACCTAGTGAATGCTCTAGCCCACACCCCCCACTAGTCAATGGTCTACCTTCTCCCACAACCTGTGCCCTAGTGAATGGTCTATTCCAGTGCCCCATACTAGTCAATGATCCAGCCCTCCCCCCCCCCGACAATGATTTAGTTCCTCCCCCCCCCACCAAGTCCCCCACCGTCCATCATT